TCAGGGTAAAACTTAAGTTCCAACTTACTGTCCCTTTTTATATTTTTGATATTAAATGAATGCCTTTAAACATGCTGACATTTAATAATATTACAAAATGAATGCGGAGTAATGAGTAATCAGTACAAATAGACCATCTATGAAAAAGGCAAGGAAGCATATCACCAGACATTGCAAAAAAGACTGATGGCTGGAGGGACCAGAAAATGATACGTGAATACAATAACTTTCCAGCTGGTCTCCCTATTTCTGGTTCTGTTAGCCCCACCTTCTTAAAGCAAGGCTAACGCCCATAAGTTTCTTGCTTAAATACCTTCTAGAACTTTTTGTTTCTTAACTACTGAAATGCAAACCTCTTAAACAGGGACCTATTTAAGCTCTTCTGTAATGCACCCCCAGTTCTGATTTCTATACTTGTTTCCCATTAGGTACATGTATCACAAAAGTTTCAGCTAAATCAGAGTATCTGCTTTCCCTGAAAGGATCACACTATTTCCTCTTGCTCTGTCCTTGTTCTGCTCTATTCCGTCTACAAAAGAAACATTCATTTCCTCAATTAATCTTTTTTTAGGATTTTCATTGTTAATTAAAGAACTGGATCAAGAAAAGCAAAGATGGATGCATGCCTGCCCTCAGGAGGCTTACAACCTCATGCAGGAGTCAAGCATAGAGATGCTTTTTGACAGAAGTAAATGAACAGCAAGATGGGTTCTGATGAAAGTACAGTGGAATACCTAAATAACAGGAGGTAAGTGTTGAAAATCTAAAGGAAATTAACCCACACAAAAGAAGGGAAAAACTTAATCCTGGGACAATGAGAAGAGAAATAGAGGGGAGAAACAACACACTTGTGCAAACCACAAGTGGTTTGTGCTTTGGAAGATAAAGATTGAGACCACAGAGTCTAAGAAACACTGTCTTCATGGAAACAAAACAAAAGAAAACAAAATCTTGTCTCTTTTTCTCTGGGCAGAAGTCTTTCATATATGCAATTATAAGGTATACTTTGAGCTATTTTTATCTGACTTTATCCATAAAATGTTAACATCAGTTTTCTTTAAATCCCTTGAAATTTTTAGTGCAATACTTTTAGCCACAGTAAGTAATCAGTATGTACTTTCTGAATGAAATAGAGAACCATGCAAATCAGTCAGAGGTTGCAGCAAACATATGCATACTATAAATGTATGTGAATGAAAATCACTTAATCCCCAAGTTATTAGAAGAAAACACTTCTGAGTAACTAAGAAATGAATTCAAGTGGATCTATCATTGTATTTCCAGATCACCTTCAGGGAGAAACATATCAGTGAGGATACATATGGACCATTCTATAACTATTCTGAATAGTTGGAACAATTTTACCCAATAAGATCAAGGTTTTCACTTACTTCTCATGGGAGGAGGGGTTATATATAAAAACTTCTGAGTCATCTTAGTTGAAGCATACATAATGATCCTTTAAATATCCGCAATTTTATAGATACATTAAAATTATTACATCAGTAATTTTCATTATTGTAAGTCTAACTTTAGATGTGCAATATGAAGATAATTTCTTAGATTTCATCAGTGACTAGTAAGCAGTAGCTTAGAAGAAGAGATTACTTTGTTTTATGAAAATAACTCAAACTTAAGTTCCAAACTAAAATATAGTAGTTAAAAAATGAAATTGCCTTACGTTTAGCATGGTAACTCTCCCTAGTAGCCCTCCAAGCTAGCCTTTCTCTGTAAAGCATTTCTCTAGTCTTCACTTCCTTCTGCTCAGCTGCACCCCAAGCTCTCTTGCTATCTTGATTTCTCATACACCTCTCACCCATTCTCTGTCATCCATAGGGCAGATTCTCTTCAGTCTGGTACAGACCAGCAAAACCTTCACTGTCTCTTGGTTACTTTCTTACTTTTCACTTTTGTTGTTGCTTATATTACCTAAGAATGAGGAGAAGGGAAAAGTAGAATTCCTTCTTAGTCAGCTGGAGAGACACACCCCCACACACACACACTGGCTTCTGAAGGAAGGCAGTAGTTGAACTCATTTCCTTCCAATTTTCTTTTAAAGTCCAATCCAGGATATACCATGTAGAAATTCAACTTGTCCGAATACAATTCATGTTTTAAATGTCTCTACATTTTAAAAGGTAAAAGCAAAAGCAGAAAAGTGACTAATGAAGTTGGAAAATAATGAATCAGATATGTTCTTGAATTAACTGTTCCCTGGTCTAAGTAACTGTCTTTGTTTAGATGCTCAACTTCTAGTTCTCCTGTTTTAGTAAGAATAGTTTCATAATATATATTCTGGAGAAGGATATCATTTACAACCAGAAAATATTTGGAAGTCTCAAAGATGAATGCAAATAGAATATGATACCCATTAGAACGCCGTTTAATCAGACTTCATAACTAAAAGATTTTTAATCAAACCCAACTATAAACATTGTCAACAAAGTAATAAACCATTGTGAGAAACAAGATCATATTTTGAATTATTTTGCATAATCAGAGAAACACAACTTTTACTCATATGTAAAAGTAAAACTAAAGTTGTTAGAAATAGTTCAATGATTTTATTAGTCATGTGAACTTATAATACATATCATATGACATGAGACTTTTTTCCTCAGAGTACTTGAAAGTTTGGATAATTTTAAAACTATGCAAACACATGCTTTGCTCTGCTGAGTATCTTCCCTTTTTGTGACTCCATAGTTATTTTCATTGGTATGTTGAACAATGGATTTTGTAATATTTCCAATGATGATATAAGGGAATTGAAGAAAGTGATTATTATTATTAATAAACTTTTGCTCGCTATACTTTGTCCTCTTTTTAAAGAATAGGGATTAATTTGTTCTGGACATTGCAAATAAGTTGGTTTACGTCTTGCACCACAATTCAGTTTTTTAAATCATACATTCTATTCAATATTTTGATTTACACAGGAACTCTAAATTCAGCCCTAGTAATTCAGTGTTGAGGTTTGCTAGGCTCTGATTAAACAGTTAAGGGCAGAGCAGTATTTCCTGAATGGCACCGAACATCAGCCTAAGTCTGGAGGACTTCAATTTGTCCTTCCATAAACTGGAAGTAGCTGCAAGTAAAATTCACCTGTACATACCCTAACAGCGACCTATAGGTACATTCTTACACTTGTTTCTTTGTGGTAAAATCCAATGAACAACTTTACTTAGTGTCATTTTTAAAGCTGTCTTATAAAATATAACTAAAAGGGTTATGTGTTCTCTGCTGCCTCAGAAGAAAGTTCTTCTGTTTTATTTTGAAGCCCAGTTTTTTTTTTTTTTTTTTTTTTTTTTTTTTTTTTTTTTTTTTTTTTTTTTTTTTTTTTTTTAAATAACGTGCAGAAAGGTCAAAATCTATTCCAACCTCACTCCTTAGAAACATGTTAGGCTTTCCACTCTTTTGCTTTTGTTTTAAAATGTCATCTTCTCGGATTTAGTTATTATTTTTCATTTTCGTTTGTTAAATGCATTCATTGAGACAAGAAAATCACAAAAGGAGAATGAAATTAATTTCAAAGTTTATATTAGGCGTTTTTCTGAGAGCTGTGTTTCAGCATATGGGAGGCCGCGATTTAGTTTATTAAAGCCACAGCCGGGAAGCTGAAAGGATCCGAACAGCTAGGAGGAACATTTGCCCTAAACATTCTCAGTTCCAACCTTCAGAGGTACATTTTCAGCCTGATGGCCTCGTGGTCGAATACATAATTTGCCTCTTTCATTCTTAGCTTAGTGAAATATAGCGGACTGGACGTCCACCAGGCCAAAGTATAAACTCACCACTTATCTATTAAAGTCATATTTAATGAAAATGAAGAGAAATTATTACCCAACTCACTGTCTCTCATTACAATTCCTAAAGAACTTTGCCGGGCACATTATCTCGTAGACATCATGATCAAATGTTATTGTTTGCTTTATTCTCTCAGTTGGATGGTTGGCCAGTCTAGAATGAAATAGGTTGAAGGCAATACCCTCAGCCTAGAAGTCTGAATGAGGTTCCCATTCAAATGATCCTGATTGTTTGGGGGTGGGGCGAGGTGATTAGTAAACCAACTGAGCTTAGCCTGCATAGTAAGCGTCTGGATGCAGCACATTTACATCTAACAAGAGACCCCAGAAAACGTGTGTGTGTTTCTTAAACCTTATGTTCTGAACAAAAGGCTATCTCAGCCACAGACAATCAGCCCTGCACTGCTCCCTGGGATGCGAGCAACACACTCAACTGCACATTTCATTCTTCCTCAGCTCCCAGCACCACAAAGCCCCTACTCTCTTCCTTCTCCTGGGTCCCAAGACTGCTCCATAGCTGGGGGGCTGGAAGAGCAGAAGCCCAGCGAGCGTGCCGGCGCTCCGGCAGCCGGCCCCGAGCCCCCGGGCTCTGCTCTCCCGGGTCCGAGCCGCGGGGGGTGGGGGTGGGGGGTGTAGGGAGGGGAGCCGGCGGCCGGAGCGGGGACCGCACACCTAGACACTTAGGGCTTTATTTCTTCCCAGGGAGGCGGCGGCGGCCAAGTGGGTACACGCCGGGCGGCCTCCCCAAGTTGCCTCTTCTGGCCCGATAAAGTCATTTTCCGGCCGCTGCGGGCCCGAGGGAGGACGGGTCCCGGCTGGGTCCTGCGCCGAGCGGCGGGGAGGGCCGGCCGGGAGGGGCCACCGGGCGGCCACTCACGCGTGGACGCGGAGGCCCCGCTTCCCCCGGGGCGCCGGCATGACCTCGGGGCCCCCTCCGGGCCG